GTCCCCCTGAGTCTGTACTGGCTCCTTGGCAGTGGGTTACACGTTGGGCTGCTAACCACAAGGCCAGCGGTTCAAACCCACCGGCCACCACTAGGGAGGATGAGGCCTCCCGCTCCTATGAAGAGCTACAGCCTGGAAACCCACAGGGCAGGTCTCCCCTGTCCTATGGAGGTGCGGAGTCCACCACGACCCCACGGCAGTGGTTCAAAGCCCCCAGCCACCCTGACGGTGAGCGATGAAACCTGCTTCCCTAAAGACAAGGCCCGTGAGGCAGTTCCGCTCTGTCCTACAGGGTCGCTGTGGGCTGGAACTGACCCGTTGACGGGGAGGTACGGTTTTATGTTCTACAACCATTTAACACGGGTCCCCACCGAGACCCCGCCGGCTTTACCCCAGCCCCTGGAGGTGCCCCAGGGAGCAACGGTGCCCTCATTGGTGCAAGACATCTCTGCTGTACGTGGGAGGGACAGCACCTGTGTGGGCTGGGGCCTGGGCTGCCCTTCCTTCCAAGACTTCCGCCCCGTGCATGCATGTGTGTGTGTGTGTGTGTGCACGCCCCACCACTGCGCCTGTATGCTCAGACTGTTCACGGTGGGGAGCCATCTGAGCCCCGACCTCTGATCTGTTTGACTTCGTCTCCTGTGTGGGCTGGGGTGGGGGTCTCCCAGAGAGCCCACCATGCAGCTCCCATATCCGGGTGTCATTGGTGTTGGGAGTGGAGGGGTGGGAACTAGTGGGCCGTCCAGCCAGCCCATCTCACCGGCTGGCGGGAACAGGTTGGCCCCTTCAGTGGGCTGGTGGCTGAGCCTGGGTTCGGGTCAGCACACCCCCGTAACCTAGCAAGGACGGAAGCCCCCGTGGTGCCGATGGCCTGCGCTGGGCTGCCATCAGAGGAGCCTCCCCAGAGCTGCAGAGGAAAGGCCTGGCTGTCGGCTTGTGTACCGAGTACAGCTGAGGGGCGGCCGGTGTGGCCGCCGGGATGGGAGCAGCATCGGCAGTGTCTCGTCTCTTTGAGTGAAAAGCAGCTTGGGAGGGGCCCTCACACACAGCAGGGGGGGGAGAGGGGTAGGGGGACCAAGAGGGGACACCAAGAGGCTGGTCCCTGCCCCTGGCATCAGGGAGTGGAAACCCAACCCTGTGGTCATGACAGCCTCTCCCCTGCCACGCTGGCTCTGGAGTGCTTGCCTCCTGGGTGCCCCTGCCCTTTGGTTGGTTGTGGCCAGCAGCGGCCCCTGTGGATGCCTGGAGCGCCCCCCACCCCCACGATGACCGGTGAACACTTTCAATGCCCCCAAGTACCCCTGCGCCTTTCAGACCTCTTGGGGGGTACCTCACGAGGCAGCCAAGGTAGCCTGGTCAGCCAGAGTGGTGGGGAGGGGTGACGGGGGCCCCAGGGCCCCCAACTCACATGTAACAGTTATCACTCACTGAGACCAGTCCCATAGCCGGTCACGTATTGCCCATCCACTGGTCACACTCCCCCATCACACCATCCTCCCTGATTTCCACGGTAGCCTGCAGCCCCCTTGGACCAGAGGGCCAGTGTGGGGTGGAGGGACCTGGGGAGAATGGAGCCAACCCTCCGGCCCACTGCTTCTGGATGCTCTGCTGTGAGACAGAAGTGCATTTCTATCTTGCTGTCCAATCTTGAGCCTGGACAGCTGGACCCAAGCAGGTGGGGAGAAAACCAAGGCGGGGTGGGGGGGGTGCCTGGGAGGGCCACAATTAAGCCAAACATGCACGTGTGTGGAGCCAGGCTGGAGTCCTGTCTGTCAGTCAGGCCGCAGCCTGGTGACACCTCCCTGGGGGGTGGCCTGTCTCTAGGAGGGGAAACGGTATCCCTCTACCCCCCACCTACTCCCTCCCGCCTTTCTGAGTCCCCATTTGCTTGGATCGGTATGTGGCTCGGAGGCAGTCCCTGGGACTGCCAACTCTGGGCGCCGTGGCACCTGCCACGTCCCCACTGATCTTGGACCCCTGACTTTGCACCCACGGGCCTGTGACCTCCCTGCCTCCCCCCAGACGCGTGAGCCTGGAGGCGGCTCGGGCCAGCTCAGGGGCATGGACTTGCATTAGGCTGGGCTGGGCCATCCCTGTGAAAGATAACTTCCTGGTAGAGAACTCGATCCTGCCCGGAGTGTCACCAGAGAACTGGACCGCACCCAGCTCCCCAGGGACAGCAACGTTGGGGCTGGAGTCCGCCAGTGGGGGGCAGCGTGGCTGGTAGCTGTGGCTGCTGTCCTCTCCAGGCCGCCAGCTTCAGCTTAAAGCTGCCCCCCACCACCTCCTGACACAGGCAGGAACCCCACCTCCTACACCACCATGGCACAGAAGGCCCACACTCCTGCCGAAAACAGAGGTTTATTTGCGGTAGAAACGGTGGCCTGGGAGAATCCACCGGCCAGTGCACAGTCCCTGTTCTGCGTGGGGCCGCCGCTGCCTGGGGGGCTCCGTCCCTGAAACACATGCATCGAGCCCCTCCGTCACAGCTAAGTCCCAGGCCCTGAGCAGCCCGGCGCCCGGGCGCCCCCCAGCCCTCTCCCATCCTGGTCAGTGCAAACCAAACCAAAGACAGAGTCCAAGGAAACAGACCGGACTCTCCCCCACCCGTGCCGGGCCGGGCCGGGCATGGTGCTCTCGCCCCGGCGATCCTTCGCGGTGTGGGCAACCATTTCTTCCACAGGGTTATGAAATGGCTCCCTCTTGTTCACAGATAAATCGGGGATCGGGCGGTACCCTGGCGAGCTTTGCCGGTCCACAGACCAACAAGCAAACAGACAGACAGGCGGAGTCTGGCATCAGCAAGCTCAGGAAGGCTGGTCTCCCCAACCACCCTCCCCAGTCCTGGCCGAAGGTCACTGCAAAGTGCTCCGTGTACCTGACAGGTGGGGACCAGGGGGCACACCCTCCACGGCCCGCCTCTGTGCCCGCTCGCCCCGCTGGGCCCTCATGCCCCCGGCCTTCCTGTTTACCTCTCTGTGCCCATGCTGGTGCCCCATGTTGCTGGGTGTGTGGCCCCGGTCCCTGGCACTCAGAAAGGGACCCCTAGCTACAGTGCCATGACCAGTCCACCCCAGGCAGGAGGGGCCAGTCTCTCCACCATGCAGCCCTGTCCGCCTGCCCTCCCTGCGCAGGGTTGGGCAGCCAAGCGGAGGGACGGGGACTCACAGCAGCTTGGGCACAGAGCCACTGGGTCTCATGCAACACAAGGACAGGCAAACAGGCTCTGGCTACGCCCCTCACAGGCCCAAGGCCGGGGGAGCAGGAGGGAGAGGGTAGAGCCCCCCCCACCCCCAGAGCACTTCTTTGGGGCTGCCCATGGGCCTGGGTGACACAAGGTCATAGAGAAAGGGCAGGGAGCCTCAGGGAGCAGCTTGCAGGCCCCAGGGCCCCTCCGTGGGTGTGGGGGGTGGGGTGGGGCGCTTTGCGAGAAGAGTGTGAGCAGCAGGGACCCAGTGAGGGGAGGCCCCCAGTTTTTGTCCCGGCTCATTCTAGGGTTTTCCTGGCAGCACGGCAGGGCAGACACACCCCAGGGCTCTGGGCGGGGTCGAGCACAGTACCATTGACTGGGCAGTAGGGATGGTGATTTATCATTCCTAAGGCCCCTCCTCAAAAGAGGGGCCTGCCCACGGGGTCCCCACCTCCCTGTTGCAGAGGGGAGGTCCCAGGAGTGACAGCAGCAACCCCTTGAGAAGCTCTCTTCTACGCCCAACACAGCCAGGCCAAGCAGGGGACACAGCAGAGGCCTGGCCCTGGGCCTCCTACCCGCCCCAGGGACCAGAGCCTCCCCTGGGGGTTGGGCAAGCAGCAGGCAGTAGACAGCTGAGCAGGAAAGGCTGGCCATGGCCCAGGATGGCCTCTACTCCGGGCACCTAGGCTACCTGACCACCACCTCGGCAGGCCAGGCCAGCTGGGAGCTCCGGGCTCAGCGGTCACACAGGGTCTGCCCACCACACCGCGGGCACCCCTGTGGGTGGCCCAAGGACAGCACCCTCTGCAGGGGCTAGCCTCGATTCCCTCTATGTACATGTCCCACGAGCCAGGCAGGTCACACACAGGTGGGGGATCCAGTCACAGGTGGGGCGGGAAAGAGCCTTCCCGCCCGGCGGCTTCAGCCGACTTCAGAGTCAGGGCCACCCCTCCTCGGAGAATCCTTGCGTCCGGCCCGAGCTCCCGTGGTCACTGGACGCCCTCCTCCTCTACGTACGTCGATGGAAACCAGCCGACCTGGAACAGAAGGCAGGGCCATGGATGGGTGCAGGGGGCCGGAGACAAGTCAGCAGACTAAGAGACTAAGCCCCTCAGACAGCCAGTGTCCTAAGTCACCCTGCTTTATCCAAGGCGCAGGGAATGCAGCCATCCTAAGCAGCTTACAATTACCGCCCGCCCTCTAGCAACCGTAAGGTCAATGGTTCAAGCCCCCTGGCTGCTGCACAGGAGAACAAGGAGGCTGCCTACTCCCCTAAAGAGTCGCAAGATCTCAGAAGCGCTGGCGAGCAGCTCTCCTCTGTGGGCCAGGACCTCGGGGCAGAGTCAGCTCCGTGGCAGGAGGTGGGTGCACAGCGGAGTAGCTTCACGGGGGCTCGAGCAACCTGGGATTCGCTGCCCTTCTGTCCTTCCCGGACTACACAAGCGCAGCATCCAGGCAAGCAACGAAAACCACGAGCACGCGGCCCCACAAACCAGCACAATGTCAGTGTGGACCCTGACGCTGCCCACCAGGGGATTTAAACACTCTCCTCCCCGGCCCAAAGAAAGTCAAGACCATCAGTGGGGAAACACACGTAGGCTGGAGGGCTCGGAGAGTGCCGTGGGCTGCCAGAGGGACAAGGAGCACTGGAAGTCCAGTGGGCCACACGCTGGGCTGCCAACTACCAGGTCAGCAGTTCAAACCGACCGGCTGCTCTCCGGGGGAAGGACGAGGCTGTCTAAAGTCTGAGTCTCCACCCTGTCCTAGAAGGGCCCTGAGGAGCCGGAATCAACTCAATGGCAGTGAGGTTTTTTGGTGTGTTTTTTTTTAGAGCCAGAAAATGAAATAAATCTGTCTTGGGATTAGTGCTGTCAGAATGCTTCTCAGAATCAAGGTGAGACTTTGTCTCACGGACACAGGACATGCGACCAGGAGGGACCAGTTCCCGGGAAGGGACAGCGCACTTGGTAAATCTGAGGGTCAGTGAAGAGGACGACCCGCGAGGAGAGGCGCTGACCCAGCTGCTGCACCCATCCAACAACCAGATGGGACTGTGCCTATGGCTCTGGACGGGCGAGGGGTGCATGCCGCTGTTGGGGGGGTCACTGGGAGTCAGGACGGGCTTGACAGTATCTAATGGCATTGCTAGAGAAATGCAGTCAAAAACCAGAGTCTAGACCTAAATGGTGCGATGACTATTGATCCCGAATTCAATCAGAGGACTTGACGGCAGGGCAGAGAAGTGGCAGGGTCACAGGGGAGACGGGTCAGACCCGTGGCAGTGGGGACAGCGGGGCAAATACGAGATGGGCCTTGGTGACACGTGCTCACATCTAGGTGAAGGGGGTCCTTTCTCAGAACACACATTGTGTGCTGCCTGGACTTTTCCCAAAACTGACAAGGACATGGAGCCACGTTTTCCAAAAACCACCCAGTCCGCGCGTGGGCACGTCGTGGCACTGCTGATGAAAACTGAGCGCAAAGCATTTTCTTTTCCCTTTTTGCAGGCAGCCCAGGGAGAACAGGGAGACAAGTGCTTCCCAGAGCAACAAACGGCGACAGACTTTCCTGAAGGAGCGATCCACGATGACGGGCCCTGGACCGGCATCAGGCTGCTCAAACACAGCAGCGTCCATCTGGAACGCACGACCGTGCCCCTGCTGGCGTGAGAGGCGCTTCTTTCTGTGGTCTCTGGCCTTGTTCTTTGGGTAAACTGCTTGAGAGGTTTGCCCCTCCGCCCTGAGGCTCGGTTTTGCCCTAGTTTTCTACCCCAGAGGGTGCATGGCTTTGGTCCAGGCTGACGGACATTTCCTAGGGGAGCACTTTGGGTGCAGTACTTTGTCTAGTGTTGTACTGCAGCCTGCCCTGAGACCGGTGCGCACCTTGCAGGGATTGGTCGAGGAAACTATGCAAATGAAGTGACTATGACCTGAGAGAGAGAGAGAGAGAGAGAGAGAGAGAGAGAGAGAGAGAGAGAGATCGGTCGTTTCAGGTCCCTGCTGGGAATGCTGTTTTGAAATTCCCAGGTGTAGGTGCAGTCCACCCTCAGAGGCTGTTCAGGATGAAGAAGGAAAGAAAGACAAGGGCATACGCAGAAAGAAAGGGGGAAACGAATTGCCTTAAAAGCTGTACCTGGGGTCAAGGGCTGTAGCTCGGAAGACAGTGAGAGCCTGAGTGGAGCCTGTCCAGAGGGGGCGCAGGGGAGACGAGGCCGGCATGGCTGAGATAGGTATGCCTGGTGGACAGAAGGCTCGCGTGGCCAGGGGGTTGTTGAGAGCCATGCAGAAGAAAGGGGTGGTTCTCCACGCCAACGGAAGCTTCCAGACTGGGCCCGCATGTTACCCGCTCCTGATCCTGTTGCTTCCTTCACAAACCACCAACTGTGGGCATGGCTGCGAGCTCCACGCGGCCATTATAAGGAACGGCCACAGACTGAGCAGTAGCCAGTGCCGCAGGAGGGACGGCTGGTCTCCGAACTGGCAAAAGGCTGGTGAGTGGAGGTAGCTGGGACCTCCACCTCAGGGTGATTGGCTGACCCGGTCACTATGCCCCTGAAGTGAGAGGGTGCGGAAGTAACACTTACTATGACCACGCTTTACTGAAGGCACGTGTTCTGGCTGAGCCGTTGCAATGTGCTTACGGGAGGAAATGCTGCGTTGATCTTGAGCCAAACATACTGAAGGGCCGAGCGGGAACGTCTGCTATTTATTCTCAAATGGTTCAGAAGAAAATAAGCGTGCACGTGCACACACATGCACACGGAGGAGAAGACAAGACAAAACGAGGCGGCTTTCACAAGCATGGCTCTGAGCACAGGGAGTTCATTCTTTGGTGGCCACAGCTAAGTTCAGGATTGTCTCAAAAGGACACCTTTTATGAAAGTGTTTTAAAAACGTGAAATAAAGATGTGTCGGCTCCAACCCAAACAAGGACAAGTTATTAGAAACAGACTCACACGAAAAGACTGTACTGACAGCGGGAAATGGTCTCGCTGGACGCCCAGGGGTGCAAGAAGGAGCGAGGAGCCGGGAAGGGGAGTAGGTGGTAAATTTCCCATGGACGTTACATAAATAGCATGTGGGTTTGCAAATGTGCTGGCAGAAGTAGGGCCAGAGGGCTCCTTGGGGGCCAGATGAGGAGACGTCATCTCACGGACTTTATACACCTGTCACGAGAGACCAGTCCCTGGAGAAGGACATTCTGCTTGGTAAGGTGGAGGGTGGCCAGAAAGAGGGCGGCCCTTGAGGAGACGGACGGACACGTGGCTGCAACAGTGAGCTCCGGGGCAGGCCTAACCGTGAGGACGGCGCAGGACCGGGCGGTGTCTGTCCTGTGGTGCGCGGGCGGCTGTGGGTCAGAGCAGGCTCAGTGGTACCCAACAACAAGAACAGCAAGGACACCTGAGAGCGCCTGCCTGCGGGGAGGATGCCCACAGGGAAGCTCATGGTCTGGGAAGTGTCCAGATGACCAACAAACGCACGGCAGTCTCTAATGCAGCGGGTCTCACCCTTCCGCACGCCGCGACCCTTACATGCAGTTCCTCATGTGGTGGTGACCCCCAACCGTAACAGTATTTTCATTGCTACTTCATCACTGTCATTTGGCTACAGTTATGAATCGTCATGTAACTATCTGATACGCGGGACGGATTTTCAGTGTTACAAATTGAACGTAATTAAACATAATTAAAGCATAGGATTAATCACAAAACAATATGTAATTACATATTGTGACTACTTAGGTGTTTTCCGATGGTCTTCGGCGACCCCTGTGAAAAGGTCGTTTGACCCCCAAAGGGGTCGAGACCACAGGTTGAGAACCGCTGCCCTGGATGTCAAGGGCACTCACTGCATCACTGACGACTGGTCAGAAGGAGGAGATGATAACAGGAAAGAAAAATCGACCCATTGGAAAAACAGGCAAGAAGAGTAGAGCGGAGGGAGAGCTGTGGTAGAAGATACACAGTACGATAGTGGCTTAACCCTCCAAACCTCGGTGATTACGTTACTCACAAGCGCACTGCATTCAACGATGGATGATTACGTTACACACAAACGATGGAAAGGCAAGGAGTGTCAGGTCAGCCTCGCTTTTCACAATCCCACTTGCACCGCGGATTGCTTCCACGGATTCAGAGGGGGGAAGTATGGTAGTTTGTGCCGTGCAAGCACAACGGAGGTCGGTAATGGTAATAACGGATAAAGCGGGCGCAGCCCTATGGGGTCACCAGGCGTCAGAACTGACGCCACAAACCAGCGGCCTGAACAGAAATTGGACGGGGGTGGGGGGGTTCAAAAAATTCATGGAAAAATGGAATTAAATGACAATGGAATTTTCCACAAACTTGTTGAAGCCCCCTCATGTTGTTGGAGATAAAAAGCCATTACCAAAAACAAAAACCCCAACCAAAACTGGCTGCTATTGAGTTGATTCTGACTCATGACCCTACAGGGCAGGACGGACCGCCCCTGTGGGGTTCTAAGACTGTCACTCTTTACCGAGCAGAAAGCTTCGTCTTTCTCCCCAGGAGCAGCGGGAGGGTCAGATCAACAAGATTACCTAATAATGCTCCAAACCAGCGCTTCTGAAGGGCAGTGTTACTTATCCAAGTCACCTGGGGAACTGGTTAGGTTCAGGGGCCCTAGTCAGAATCCAGGTGTGTGATCATTCAATCACGGCCCCGGGTGCCCCCAATGCCAGGCATCCCAGGGCCACTTTGACAGTTAGGGTCCTTCGCCAACCAGGTCAGCTGCCCAGCACACAGTGACCTGGCAGGCTGATGAGTAGAAGGCAGGTGAGAGTTCCGGGCGTCTAGAAGTTGTCAGGGATCCCGTCTTGCTTGGATCCACAATCAATGTTCCTGGAAGCAGCCGTCAAGAAATCAAAGGATGCACCGCACTGGGCAAAGCTGGTGCCCAAGACCTCTCGGAAGTGCTGAAGAACAGGGATGTCCCTTTGAGGACTAAGGTGCGTCTGACCTGAGCCAGGCTATTTTCAATGGCCTCCTGTACGTGTGAAGGCTAGCCAGTGCAGAAGGAGGACTGAAGGACAGATGTATTCGCACTACGGTGCTGGCCAAGAATACTGAAGGTACCACGGACGGCCAGACAGAACAAACGGATCTGTGTGGGAAGAAGCGCAGCCAGCGTGCTCCTGAGAGGCAAGGAGGGCCAGACTTCCTCTCATGTACTTTGGCCAGGTGATCAGGACAGACCAGTCCCCGGAGAAGGACACCACGCTTGTAACGTGGGAGGGCAGTGGCAAAGAGGAAGGCTCAAGGAGATGGTGGCAGACGGGTGCTTACCAGATTGTCATGAGCTAGTCCCCAAGGACGCCCAGTGGGCCTGCCTTCGGGCAGCTTCGGCCCCTGGGGGAGCATGGGCTGCACCTATCCCTGCTTCTCCCCAGTCATTCCTGGCCAGCGGCCATGGAGCTGGGGGACTCTGCTGGACAGGTGCCGAGAGAGCCGGTCAAGGCACAGCTGGGCAAGGGGGAGCAGCTCGGGGTGGACAGGATCAGGGTGCTGTGTGGAAGCAGGGCCCTGGACAATGACTGAGGAGCCCAGATAAGACCAGGGACTGGTGAGTGGTTTGATGGTGGTGCCCCATGCCTGTCCCCTCAAGGTCGGGGTTCAGATCTGACGACGTTGCTGCTCCCAATTTCCTGCCGGCCCCTGGGTGTCCCTCCTCAGTGTCTCTGCCGCGCACTAAGAGAGGAGCCCCAGGCTCCCAGGCTGCTGTGCGCACACAGGGGACCTTGCTCAGAGGGTGCCTGGCACAAGGCTGGGCCCTGTAGCAACGTCAGGTCCCACAACCCCCCAACTCACCCGCCCATTGGCCTCGCCCTTCCACCAGCCCTGGTCCCCGCCAATGCGGCTGTAGATCTTCACCACGTCGCCTTCCCGTAGGGAGAGCTCCCGCATGTCCCGCGCGGCAAAGTTGTACCTGGCCACGGCCGTGCCGATAACCCTGGGCGTAAACACTGTGGGGGGACAGGGCGGTCACTTGGCTGCTCCCTCCTGGTGCCCAGTGCTGAGCCCAGATGGAGGAAGGAGGCAGAACTGGGGACCAAGACGGGCTCGGACCCCAGTGCTGCCAGCTCCTCTGTGGTGACCCCTCTGGGCACAGGGCACCCTCGCCTTCGCTGATGGGTGGCTGTAGGGGGGTCTGGGAGTGCGCATAGGGGGAGAGGCAGACAGCAGGCTCTGAGCAGCACGGTGCCCGTGCGTCCCTGGGGTTCGGCATTCTGGGGCACAGGCGCCACTTGGAAACCCTGCCAGAGCAGATTCAGCCTGGGGCCCTGACCCCCACGTTCTCCCATCAGCCCCAGCTCCCGAGTCCCTGACCAAACCAGAATCGGCTTGGCTGGGGACCTAGGCGTCCAGGTGGGCAGGGGACAATGAAGGTGACAGTGCTGGTGATGTCTCTGATTTTAGGACTAAGGGGTGGGGCATGGAGAGAGGGGGTGTCTTTGACTCTGGCAGCAAAGGCTCATCCCAACACGTGGGGTCCAGCCCACCCGCCCGCCTGCCCATGGTTGTCGCTGCCAGAGGCAAAGGTCCAGAGGAGCTCAAGGAGGTAGGTCAGCGACAGACAGGGCTGGGGCAGCGGGCGTCGGGTGGGCCTGTCCCAGAGGGGTCACAGGGCGTCCCCAGGCACCGGCAGCAGCCCCGCCTCTCCCCTCCTGCACCCCACGCCACCCTCCACCCAGGGGCACTCTGCGGGCTGCTAGGGAGGCTTCCGGGCAGGGCAGTGGGCACAGCACATTGTCCCACGCCGAGAGGCAGCGGTACCTGACCAGAAGGGCGCGGAGGGGCCCTGGGGAGCAAGGCTGAGGCCCTGGGGACTGAGAAAGGAGAAGCTGTAGGGAGCACAGGAAGCTGCAAAGAGCGAGAGAGCGCGTGAGCGGCAGGCGGGCGGCGCGCGAGAGCGAGGTTTGCTAGCTAGGGCCAGGACATGCCGTCTCCCCCAGGACCACCCCAGCGCATGCTCCCCAGAGAGTCACAGGGACAATGGGAGCTGAGCACCCCCTGCCTCAGCCTCAGAAGGCACCAGCTGCTGGCTGGCACTCCCTCCCCCGGGCTCGGCCCGGGTGGGCACCCAAGGACGTACAGGAGGCCCTCGGTTCCAGGCCCTGCACCCTAATCCCAAGTGACCTTGGCGGGCCCTCCCCTGCCCTCCTATAAATGGGGGTCCAGCGTCACAGGCGTCCTGGCTGCTCTCCCCAACAGGGATCTCTGACCTCCAGCCGGGGGACCGAGGATGGAGCAGCAGCTCCGAGCGGTTGCTGGAGCAGAGGGGGTGGGGGAGCACGTGGACTGGTGGGCGCAGTCTTACCAGGGGACCGACTGGAGGTCCTGGAGAGGGCGCGCTCCCGAGACTTGTAGGGGTACTTGAGCGTAGTGTCCAGCTGCTTGAAGCTCTCCTTCAGCGAGTGGCACTGGTAATACTCCACCAGCTCCTGTGGGCACGGGCGGGCACCGTCTGCAGCTGTCGCCAGGCCGCCCTCCCGCCCCGCCCCACGTGTGTGTGTGTGGGGGGGGCACGGGGCGGTCACCCTCCCCTGGGCAGGTACCCCGGGCTTCTGGGAGCTCTAGGTCCTCTTTCTCACTTGGGGTGCTTCTGGGGCCACGTGCAAAGCTCACGCCCCACCTTCGGGGTTCTCTGAGCAGCTCTTGTGATTGAGATAGGGCTTGAGAGACATTCTTAATCAAAGCTGTGCCTTTAGCTCCAGTCCCCGAGTGGCACGCACAGTTAAGCACTCGGCCACTTGCCCAGAGGCCGGGCCTTCAAAGCTGCCCTGGGAAGAAAGGCCTGGTGTCCTGCTTCCCAGATGCCACAGCCCGCTCTGCACGCCTGCGCTCCCCAGCACGAGTCTGGAGAGGAGCCACCCAGAGGGCCGGCGCTGTGTGTGGAGGGGTCTGCACGGCTTCCGGCTCTGGCAGGGGGCTCCTCATGAATGCCCCTCCCTGTCCAGGGCTTCAGCCCCAAGCCCGCACCAGGCGCTAACAGTCAGGGCATGGGTGGGGGCTGTGGCCGAGGGGTCTCCTCTCCTTAGAAAAGATGTCATCCTACGGGGCAGAGCGCCCCGGCCTGGTCAGGTCACCACTGGCAGGCCCTGCACTGAGCAGCCCTGCTGGGCAGGGACTCTGAGGGACCTCAGCCTGGCAGGGACTTGGAGGGGCCAGGTCGTGTGGGGCAATACCTACCAGGAGGCTTTCGAACTTCTTGGCTTCTGTGATGTGGATCCAGTTGTCCTTCTCCACAACCTTGATGTGCTTCACCTCCTCGTTGAACCTGGGGGCACACGTGGTCCCCGAGTGGTCACTGTGTGAGGGCGCAGTCCATCCTCCTGCCCACCCCATTATGGGCCTCTCCCGGCACCCACCCCAGCCCTCTGGGGGGGACCACTCGCTTCAGGCCTCTGCACCACCAGCCTCAGGCTGTCCAGGCTTGACCTGTGTTCCCAGGCTGGGCTGCCTGCCC